TATATATATACGGTGTTATTTTTCAACGAAGTGAGTTCATATGAACCCACTTGACCCTCTGTAGGTCCGCCCCCGTTGATTCATAATATGTGCCACATCAGTGACCTTATGTTCCTGCTTTATATTATTATATAGATTATTATTTTATATAAAGAAAGATTCTTCCTATTCTCATAGGATCTTGTTTATCCTTTTTTTTTTACGATTAAATTTGAAATTATTATCGAACATTCGAACTCAAAATTTTTTTGGCTAAAAGAAGAAAAATTAGGGGTGTCAAATAAAATTTCTTGAATAATTTTTTTAAAAACATTTTTTTTTGAACCCAAGTTAGTGATATTGTAATAGATTGACCCATAATCAGCAGGGGCGGAGCCATGTAGGCGGACACCCTTCGTTGATAAATTATACTATATATATCGTAAAATTTTGACTTTATATTGGTATATATAGAATTTGGACCCCCTGAAATAACAAAGTGATGCGCAGTGGAGTTGGCAATAGCCTGTGCAATCCTACTTTTTGTCTCGGTTCGAATCCCCGCAGGGTTGTTTTCTTTTTCTGTAATTATTTTGACTTCTTGAATTCAATTAAGTAAATAAACATGCATAATTTTAACATAAAAGTTCAATAGCTTGGTGGTTAATAGTATCATGAAGGTCTCCAAGACCCAAGTTTGAATCCCTCCTTTACTAACTTTTTTTTTTTCAATTAAAATTAAATTATTTTTTTAAATTTTAATACATTTTCCTTGTAGAATAAGATTTCCTTGAATTTAGTACTTTTTCTTGTGGATTTTTTTTCAATTAAAATTGAATTATTTCCTTAAATTTTAATACCTTTTCCTTATGGAATAAGATTTCCTTAAATTTTAATACTTTTCCCTTATGGAATAAGGTTTTCTTTCTCTATAAATAGGAAACTCATTTACCCAAATTATATCACAATATTATTAAGAATAGAATCTCAATAATTCTCTCTCTGTTTTTTCTTCTCGTTCTCTTATTTTATAACAAAAATAGCCAACTTAATATTTTAGTTTCAAGTTTCAATACACATGAGAAATTATTATAATAGAGTACCAAAAAAAGTTTGACTTCTCTAAGTCAACCAAATAAAGAAACAATGGTAGATCAATTAGAGATGTTGTCACATTCTTCTCAAAAACAAAGCATTGATTTAAATACTCTAAAAATGACTTGCAAAATCGAATGGATGATGAGTTTTTAGACGGTTGTATAGTGCCTTATGTAGAAAAGAAAGTATTTCGTACTATTTCTAATGAGTCTATTATAAAAACGTTTCAGGATATGAAACCTCGTCAAGTATAATTGTAATAATATATTTAAATTATGTTTTCAATAGTAGTTTATTTTCTTTATGTTAGTTTTGAATTATACACTTGTAATTCTATTAAAAATATTCCTATATTTAACTTGATTATTTGTTTTGGTAATTTAAATCGTCGTTTTTTAAAATAAAATTACTATTAAAAGTTTGGACACCCTTCATTAAATTCCTAGCTACGCCACTGATAATCAGAGGTTTCAGATTTGAGCTATGGATATGAAAAAAATCTTGTTGGGAGCGTCACCCTCAAATGGATCCTGCAATGCATAATCCGCATTTAGTGAGGGCTCCAATGCGGACTTAGACACTGAGTGGAAAAGAAAAAAAAAGACATCGTAATAGTGCATTAAACTAATTAATATACTAATTTTATCTAAGCAAGTGCTTAATTATTAAAGGTATGAGAATAATTTCGAATAATTCCCACGTTCAAAGTGCAGAAAGAGAATCTAACCCACAAATCGTTGATGGAATAAATGAATTTAATTATGAGGTAGTATTAACTATTACTTGATTAAATTTTTTTATTTTTTGTGTATCTGTGTTTTAATAGTACTTTGCCTTAATTTACCTCTTCTTAGAATAGTGAGTATTACCATTTGTTTTTTTTATAAATAATCATGTAATTAACTATAGGAATGTGTAGAAGAACAAATAAGGTCTACTAGCTTTATTTCAATTCTTATTTAGGGAAGAAGCAAATTAAAGAGAAAAATAATAATCTATTTTTAGAAATTAACATAGTCCTTCTGGTTTAGTTTACTTGTGTTTTTTCTTTTTAATCGGTTAAAAAAGAAAGTCAATTCTATATTTAAAGTCCACCACCACAACATACGTGATACTCTTTGATTTCGAGAGTTGATCTTAAAAAATGACATTTTCTTTAATATTTAATAACAATTTAACTTTAAACTTTAAATTTTAAATTTAATGAAACATATATTTCTATTGGTTATTTTAAACAGTAAGTACCAAATTATTTTTTTTTTAAATAAAATTTTTGAGTCTAGTTAAACATATTCACATATATTAAGAGAAATGAAATAACTATTTACGATCAATATCCTAAGTTGCTTATTGGGATAAGGGTCTGAAAAATATCCCAACTTTGGTCGAATTTGCTGTTGCGATACTAAACTTTCACAAAGACCTATTACCTCCCTAGACTAATTAATACCGTATTTTTAACCCCATGAACTATTTAATAGTGTATTTTAAAGGTATATATGTGCCCACGTGGACACATTATTATTTATAATTTTGCATTATTTTTTATGTCCACGTGGGCAAATATATATATTTAAAATATGGTATTAAATAGTCTAGGGAGGTAATAGGTCCTCATGAAAGTTTAGTATCGCAACAACAAATTCGACCAAAGTTCGGATATTTTTCAGATCCTTATCCCTTGCTTATTCAAAACAAACAAAACATAAAAGGTATATTTGGTATACATTTTGATAAGTTGTGGGATTTTGATATTATTTCACTCACTTTTTATACTTTGGGGGCCTTTAAGGCGTATTTCTAAATTAATTATGGAGATTATCTCTTATTGCAAGCCGCATTTTTTTAAGCTTAAAAAAATAAAATTTTAAAGTCTTTTTTAAATTTTTTTTAGAACTTTGTACCTAATCAAACTAAGATACGTAAATTTAAAAAATGGGAGAGAAATGGAAAGAATGTGATTAAATAAGTTGAGGCTGAAAAAAACTTGGCGAGTTATGACAAATTCAACTAATTTTCATTGTAAATGAATAATTTCAGTCCCACTTTAGGACATATTTGGAGTATTATATTCGATGATATCTTCGTCATAATTTATGTAACATCATACGAGGTTCTCGATATATTTTTTTTATTAATAGAATTATTTATTTGGTAATTGACAAAGTTAAATATCTAAGTAATAGTTGGTGCGTATAAAAAGGAAAGTAGAGAATGCACTTTAAAAAAATATTTTTTTTCCAAATAAATTCCAAGCTCTTATTAACACATGCCTATACTAGGAATTAGAACTACTAAAGCCATTAACGCATTCTACATTGAATCCCTTTTATATAAGAAAAAATTTGTAAAAGGGAAAAAATACCTTTTAATTACTTTCAATTTAGAGTGTATATTCTTCGTTAAAAATTAAAGGTGGTGTATATATATATTTGCACCACCTAACAAACAATGGCGGAGTTAGAATTTTCAATAAAGGGGTTTAAAATCTGAAGAAATAGATAAATGAAGTAGCTGAAGGGGGTTTGACATCTATTATATATACCTAAAAAAATTTATTTTAACCATGTAAAAATAATATAATTTTCCGCCGAAGGGGGTTTGGATGAACCCCCTAATGATAAGATGGCTCCGCCACTGCTAACAAATGATGCACATATACCCTCAACATCTAACAAACAATGTGAGAGTTCTCTATCATATATTGAGGAAGATACACCTAAATACATGTAATTTTTTTACCAAACACACTAAAATAGGGAGAGAGGTGAGCGAGACGAGGAGGGAGATAGTCATGTATCACAAATACATGTCAATCACATTAGATACACACTAGATACATGTATCTGTATGTATCTGGTGTGATTCACATGTATCTGGGATACCAAATTCATAGGAGAGTGACGAGTGACATGGGAAGGAGGCGAACGAGATTTGTTATGTATCCCTGATACATGCAAATTCACTTGGATACAATGTTTCTAGAATAAATTACACCTAGTTTTTAATCCATGTATTCCGAGATACATGAATCTGAATGTATCTGGACACACCAAAATTTGATAAAATTTGTAATATTGTAAACTAACATGTATCTAAGTAATTAGTTCCTACCGTATTGAGATTTGTGTAAGTTTTCCAAAGGAAAAACTTATTGTAAAAGCTTGAGAGAGATGGGCTGAAGCTTAATGGACTTGACATAGCTCACAATAAGCCCAAAGTTACTTCAAACCTCCTAAAACTCAATGAACAAGCTTCCGATTACTATTATTTTTTCGACAGGAAACTGCATTTTGTTATTTCATAATATGTTTTACATGTCCCTAAGATATTTGTGCATAACAAGCTTCCGAATTGGCTCAACTTAAATCGATAATACGATTTAAGTGGACTTCATTATGATTAGGAGTGTCAAAGTAACGGATGAAATTATAACTCGCCCAAATCAGCGTAGACTTCAGGAGGATTGAGGTGACCATTTAATCATTTGGAGACCATTTTGGGCATGACTTAAGTTCATCCATCTAAAAGTTCGAAATATTCAACAAACATAAGAGAAAGAAAATATTTATTAGTAAAAGCTAGAGGGAAAGGTTAGTTTTTAAAACAAAATTTAAGGGGTGTAATGTAAGTCGAGATTCACCAAAATCTTGCACTCAAAATGGGCAAAAAAACTTATAAATTGGCCACGATGGAGACTTAGGGGGTGCTTGAAAAATATAAAGGCATGAAGCTCAACTTCCTAAAAGACTTGTCAATTAAATCCTATCTTATTGTTCTTATCTTTTGTTTATTTGTTGTTTCTTGTTCGTTTGTTTTCCACGTATCCAATATATTTATAGGAGTGAAAGAAACTAATATTCACCCAATATCTCTCTTGACACCATCTAAACTTCAAAAATACACACATTTTTCCTATTAAAATGGCCAAAAATCCTCTTCCATCACCAATAAACCACTTAGGTGAAGAAGAATACATAGACATTGAAGTAAACTCTGCCTCTCAAAACAGAGAATTTGAGTTTCAAATGGCTTCAATTACCAATTATAACACAACTTCCCCTGCTGATGAACTCTTTTATAGAGGCAGACTCCTTCCTCTTCACCAAAAAATCCTTCAAACACAACTCTTTGAAGATTTAGAAGATAGCTTTTGCGTGGAGGTTTCTACAGAAAGACCCCTTGGTTCTGGCAAACGGATCAACCTACTCACGAGCTCCGCCATCAATTTCACTATTAGTTCACCATCACAATCTTTTGAACTTAGTCCAAATGATCATAAAATAAGTCCTAAGAAAGTGTGGATTAAGTTCATTAAACATTCTTTAATTACTCAAAAGCTCAAATCTTTGTTTAGTAAATCTTCTTGTAGAAATGGGAATTGTTGTTCTAGTAAAGACATGAATGTTTCCAAGAAAATAATCCCATTGAAAAATACTAATAACATTGGAAGTGTGTCTTCAAGGTCATTCAAGTGGCAACAAAAATCAAGAAATGGAAGTTCTTCAAGGTCATTCTCTTCAACTAATTTTTCTTCAAGGTCATCATTTGATTGTTCCTTTAACTCCAATTATGAGTTGAATTTCTCCAAGAGAAGTAGTTTTACTTCAGAGAGTGAAGGTTCAATTGAGGATGCTGTTGCTCATTGTAAAAAGTCTCATACTGGTTGAGGAAATTAGTTGTGATCTCTGTAACGTAACTGGAATTGGGCAATTCTGATCTCATGAGCTAGGGTGATGGTCTATTTCTTGTTTTTTAACGAGTTTAGTAAAAGCACATGGCTTTATCTCACTCCAATGAAAAATTGACATGTCATTACTTATTATTGTAATTTTTAATGTTGGGCTCTCATGTTACGTTATGTTATTCATGCTCTTGGACATGTGGGAGAGTGTTAAGTCCTCATTGGTTGAGAGAAAGAATGTTTCTCTTCTTACTTGGTCTAGGTCAATTCTCACCTTTTTTTTAATTTCTATTTATTATTTTGGTGATTTATAGTTCTTCCATTTTATTGGATGAAATTTCATTGTATTAGATTTATAAAAATCGCAAAGTCCTTGCTTTTGAATCCAAAATGAATAGTGTAGAGCTTGGATTTCTTGTCTGTTTGTAATTGGATATGCATATGTCTGATAAAAAGAATAATAACTTTTGAGGTTGAGTTAGGTCCAAGTTTTATCAATTATTTATATATCTCAATTGCAAGAACGACCTCATTTGAAGATTTTGAATAAATGTCTGTTTTCTTTTCTTTGTTGTTGCAAGATGCATTTATGCGAACAAAGACCTACATTAGAAATTGATAAGAAAAATAAACTATGTACATATAAAGGGACGTTGGTGGTCATAAATATAAGAATGATAGGATGTCACACAATAAACTTTTATGTACATATAAAGGGACGTTGGTGGTCATAAATATAAGAATGATAGGATGTCACACAATAAACTTTCACATAAGTCCATGATTTTTTTGAAAATTAATCCCATGTGGTACTTAGTTCAATGAGAAAATCATTGAATCTATAAACAAACTTTATTTTTGGAAGTTGATAAGAAAAATAAGTTATTATAACTACAAGTCTACAACTTATTGGATGCTTTAAATTATGTGAATGGTGCGAATTTGACCAAAAATAGATAATGTCACATCATATTAATTTAAAACTATATAGATATTTTATTGCTATAATTTACCGAGATTGCAATTATTCCATGATCAGATGATTTATTTGAGTGTCCATAATCTTGTGTGCCAATGGGTAAGAAATGCCTTAATTCCTATTTTTGTTTATTTTTAATGACTAGTTTCTGAGCACGTGCATTGCACATGTGTTCCATGCAATATTTTATAAATTCGTTAGGACGATTAAAATTCAATGAAAATATACGTGTAATTTGTAATGAGTACTAAAATGCAACAATCTCAAATAAATGTTATGATAATAAATTTTTTTTATAGAAAAATAAATTAAAGAAGACTAATAGAGAAATATAAAAAAATAAACATAGAAGAAAAAATAGCATACGCATCCTTCTTAAGACTTTAATCATAACGTTATATAAATGGAAAAAGAAATACAAAATCGGTACATAATTTTCCAAGTTTTTGTCGACACCTCTCATATCCAATCAAAATTCAAAAGTCTTCTTCATCGAGTGAGACTAAAGCATGAATCAAATAGAAAAATCAATTTATTTTCATAAAGTGATATATAATCAGACTAAGGTAGATATATCATATACTTTAGATGTTGAAGACTTCACTATTTTAACTATAAAATGAAAAGGATAATTTTGAATGTGTGTTTCATGAAATAAAAAAGATGAATTTATATTAGATAAAAATAGAGAAATATCAAAAGACGTCACAAAGTTTTAAATTAAATATTTGAAGGTTTCAAAGGGCCAAAATAGATAAAAGAGAACAACTTTAAAAATATTAAATATATGCAATGAACCTCCATTATAATCTGGAAGAGTGAAAAATCATCCTTTGAACACATGTAACTCTCCATTTACTCAATGTAGTAATTGATTGTCACTAATATTTAAACATGTAATTAACTAACTATTTATTATATTTTAATTTAGTGTAGGGACAAAATGGTATTTCAACTTTCAACTTTTTTTGTTTCCACTTTTAATAATATATGATTTATGATGATTGGTTGCTTCCTAAAATACTTATGGTCACCTAGCTAGATGAGTACTTTAAAAGGGTACTATATTTAAAAGTTATCAAGAAAAAAACATCATTGAAAAATACTATTAATGGAACATCATGTGCAATAAACAACATTGGAAGTTTGTCTTCAAGGCCATTCAAGTGGAAGTTCAATTGAGGTTGTTGTTACTCATTGTAAAAAGTCTCACACCGTTTAAGGAAATGAGTTATGATCTCTGTAATTGGAATCGGATAATTCTTGTTTCACGAGGTAGCTTTTGTATTTGAGCTAGGAAAACTGAACATTCAATGCAAAATAGACCAATTAACATAGATCTATCTTATTCTTTTCTTATTATTGTATTAAAATAGACCTATCTTAATCTTTCTTTATTACTGTATTAAAATAGACCTATCTTATTTGTTGCCTACTATTGTATTTTTTTCAATGTTGGGCTCTTGTGTTATGTTTACGCCTTTTGACATGTGGAAGAGTGTTAAGTCCCACATTGATCGAGAGAAAGATTGTTTCTAGATCTCCTTACATGGTCTAGGTCAATTCTCACTTTAAGCTTTTTCTATTTATTATTTTGGAAATTTATAGTTCTTCCATTTTATTGGATGAAATTTCAATGAATTAGATATATAGAAATTGTGAAGTCCTTGCTTTTAAAGCCAAAATGAATCGTTTAGAGCTTGAATTTCTAGTCCATTCGTAATTGGATATGCATGTTTGATAAAGAGAATAATAACTTTTGAGGTTGAGTTAAGTCTAAATTTATCGCTCGTCTTTATATCTTGATTGCAAGAACGATCTCATTTGTAGATTTTAAATGATGTTGGTGGCCATAAATATACGGATGATAAGGATGTTAAATAGTAAAATTTCCTAGTAAGTGTCCATGAATTTTCTGATAATGGTCTCATATGGTACTTGGTTTGACAAAAGAATCTTCGATCTATAAACAAAGTTTTATATCGGAAGCTGATAATAAAAATAAGCGAGATAACTATAAAGTATATGGATGCTTTTAATTGTGTGAATGGTGTGGATTTAACTAGAAACAAGATAATGTCACATCACATTAATTTAAAATTATGCAGATATTTTATTGCTAGAATTTACAGAGATTGCAATTAGTCCTATTTTTGGTTTATTTTCAGTGTTTGGTTGTTTCCTAAAATCCTTAAGGTCGACATCCGATAAAAAATCTAGATGAGTAATATAAAAGAATACAATAAAAGCTTGAATCACTTTTATAACTGTCTTTTCATCTACTTAACTTTGTTTTACTCTCTCACACAACTTATCAATGATCAATTAATTAATTAATTAAATTAGAATTCAGTGTTGTCGATTATTCATCAGCGTAACTACTAGAAGATTAATTAATTACTAATTTAGAGGACATATATTATATTTGTGTGACTAAAAATGTTGAGTATCATTAAAAATAAAATAAGAAATTTAAAATTTAATTATTTCTAAATTATATAAAATAAAAACATGTTATGTTTTTTTTTTTGACATATATACTAAAAGAAAAGGAATGATTAATATATTGAGATTGAAGAAAATATTGAAGAGCTAGCTAGTTAACTATAGAAGGCTGAAAGATTGTACTACAGTATTACTAGCTTGTATATAAATTTAAATTCATTGTAATACTGAGGAATCTGATAAACTTCAAACTAATAAAAAATGTTTGACTCCCTAAAAAGTAAGTATATATATATATATATAGGGGGATAGAGGAAGCATATAAGTCTACAATAGTTATATAAAAATTTAAATCATACGACTTTCATGATCGGCCATCTAAATATTGTATTTGTCTTTAAAAAAAATTCATCAAATATCTAAAAATTATTAATTTAGAATTCAGTATAACTCATCTAACATGACATATTTATATTTTATTATCTAAAAATTATTAATTTAGAATTCAATATAACTCGTCTAACATGACATATTTATGTTTTATTATTTTGATCCAGCTAAACGTTGTGCCTCTCATTCAGATGAATGTCGTCATGACCCTTTTGTGTCAAACGGGTCCATGGAGCTGTTATTGATGAATATCGAAAAAAACTATATAATTAGATATATTTTACTATCATATATATATACTATTATTATTATTTATATTTTAAAAAATATTATGTATCTTAACACTAATTAAGAGTTTTCTACCATATATTGAGGAAAATACACGTACTTAGATGTATGTATTTTTTGCTATCAAATACATAAAAAATAGGGAGAGAGGTGAGAGAGAAGGGGAGGGAGGCGAGCGAGATTTGTGATCATATATGTATCCCAGATACATGTAAATCACCCTAGATACATACTAGATATATACATGTATATGTATGTATCTGGCGTGATTCGTATGTATCTGGGATACCAGATACATGAGAGAGTGGCAAGCGAGATGGGAGAGAGGCAAGCGAGATTCGCTATATATCCCAGATACATGTGAATCCACTTGGGTACAATGTATCTAAAACAAATTACATCTAAATTTGACCACATGTATGTATCTGAACAATCCAAAATTTGATTAAATACATAATATTATAAATTAAAATGTATATAAGTAATTAGCTCCTAAACTAGTGGAATTTACGTAAGTTCTCGATGAATATTCCCACTTATGTATTTGTATATATATACTAAATGACTTTTGTACCTGAGTTGAATATACACAATAATGATATTATCAACTTCAAATACTTTTATTTTAATTTCAACAAAAAGTTAATTGTCCTTACGCTTAAAATATCTTTTGTACTATGATATTTCTCAAAATTAAATTATGATTTGTCAATATCATTAAAGGGAATTACATGCACTTCTAATATGAGGACGAGTCCGATCCCTTTTTCTTAACAAATGCATGTCAAGCAAGTTGATAATATATACCTTTTTAATTATTACTGTATTATTTTTTGGTTCAGTGTTTGTTTTCTTGTCTTTGTTTGTCATGAGCTGTCCAATAA